AGGAAGCAACCGCCTGCTGTGAGTTGCCAGCACAGCTGACTCATTTCATGGGGAGAGACCTCTGGGCATGGTGGCCATTCCAGGATGGGCAGAGCACCCCGGGCCCAGCTGGCGCTGCAGCCCTGCCAGATCCCACCACCCCAGAATTGCCAACCGCCTCAGAGCCGAGTGAGGTGGCAGCAGCTTCCGCTCGGCCTTCCAGGGCAGAGTGTGGGGTGCCCTCCGGGTGGGGAGGAAGGCAGCGTGCCCTCCCTTAAACAGCTACTGACTGGTGCGTCATCGTTGAGGAGCTTCCTGGTCTGGTCAGATTGTTTTTAAAAGCCCTGGAAAAAGGCCCTGGCAAGGTGTGTTCATAAGTCCAACACTAAACTGCGTGGACCTGTTGAATGTCTCCTAGAAAATTAAGGATGTTTCTTTTAATTGCAAATATTATATAATACATTTCAGTCCACAAAGGTAAAACATTAGTTCAGTAATTCACTAGAACGATCATTCCTGTGGCCAGCAGTTGAGGTTAAGGTTTTGCTCATAACAATCACTCTGCTTCTGCTTCTTTTTGGAACGATTGTTGTGTTATTCGTTTTATGCTGGGCTGCGAGCAAAATAAAAGACGATGAAGATTCATGCTCAGATGAATTTGCTTTCACAGGAATGGGCGACGACCGTCAGAGTTAGAGAGCTAGAGAGATCAGATGCGTATTAGCAGGAGAGACCCTCCCCAAGACAATGCCCTCCAGATATCTCGGGGAGGAGCTGAGCGACCCGGCCTTCTGCAGGGCACCTCAGTCCCCGGACATCACAGCCACTTGTGGGCAGAAGTCCTTTAGCGGCTGAAGCAGAAGGGAAGGGACAGTGCCGTGCCACAAGGGGCCAAGGGCTCTCTTTCTCGCGTTTCCTCCTCCTCCGCCTTGACGTTGGGTGGGCCTGGCATCCCTCAGCTGCCCAGAGGATGCCCCCGTCCCGGGGGCCGCCGAGAGCCGCTTAAGAGCCCCGTTTCCTCCACGCCGTTCCAAGTTCCCAGAGCAAAATGGGAACAGGTCAACCGTTTTGTCATAACTGGTCCCTGTTTGACCGATGACTTCCTTTCTCTTGCTGTGCAGTGTTGAAAGCTGTTCCCGCTCGCCCCCCAGCAAAAGCAAATGAAGGGTGAGAGAGGCTCTCCGCCCCCCCGTCCCCCCGCCCGTCCCACGGAAGAGTTTGGCCTCCTCTCCTCCTCCCCGTGCTGGGCACTGGGCTCGCAAAGTGCCGCTGGCAGCCGCCCCTGCCTCCGGGGCCTGCGGTGGTGCTCCCCCCAGCCCTTCCCACTGG